AAATTTATCCTTCAACCTCAACATCTTGTATTGATTTACGGAAATCTCACTTAACTATATCAGCGTACTCAAATATATGTTAGTATAAACTCCACTCCACAATTCTTAAATGCTAAACATTCAGCCATAAATTTTCTTCACACCAAAGGCTCACAGCTACTTTTTGTTTAAGAATTCGGTTCGGTTTTTTTTGGGCGGTTCAGGGGTTCAAACCGGATCCAGACCGGTTTAATTCGGTTCGGGCGGTTTAGAGACTTCTTCTCATCCATTTAATTCGGTTCGGTTAACCGATCCGTTTTTTCGGGCGGTTTTTTCGGTTGAACCGGTTTGTTTCGGTTTTTGCCCACCCCTACCAAAGTTATTATCACAGCTCCCCCGTCTTCTTTTTATTCTTGGTTCGGCCCTTCCTTTCCTAGAATGTAATGTGACTTCATTCATGATGCTGACAACCACTTCTAGTCAAGGCAATAGTCAACATCATGTTGTACGTATAACCATTTGCTTTTTTCACACAACTCTTCCCGGTAAAAATGTACAAAAAATATGAGATGTATCAAAATGTAAAATTTGCAATTCAGCCCCTAACACAAAATTTATTTTAGTGTGTAAAGATAAAAAAAATGCCATTGCACATGTATTTTTTTTCCCTTGGCGCAAAAGTTAGAATCTAAATCAAGATCTAGCTTAGTATGTCAAATATAAGTCTATGCTCTCTTAATGGATTCCATTTTACAATGCATGTATTTGAATTAGGATAAATAGGACAATCGATCCGAAACCAACGTGAGTAAGATGTTATAGATGTAATGCAATAGATGATACAGGTAACATGATCAAAAGGATTAGTTGCTAAGCCAGCATTTAATTTGTTCCGGTGATGTTCCTATATAACTTGCCATAGTTATATTTTGAATATGGGAAAAATGCTCCAGCCCCTAAAAGCTAATGAAACGTGCTTTCCACTCCTAAGACTTTGTCAACGAGTGTTTTACCCCTAAAAATAAATATTCTGTTCTCTGAGCCCCCAAGACATTAAAACATGTGAAGACCATAATACCCTTCTCTCTCTCTTTCTTTTTTTTATTAAAATATGATGATGATTATTTTATTATTTTTGTTTTCTCTCTCTCTTTATCATGATGTACTAAGATGATAGTTAAAATAATTGATGAGGATTATTTTATTATTTTTGTTTTTTATTATTTTGGTTGTTTGTATTGGGAGATTGTTAAAGTTACGGGTTAATTGTTAAGGTTACGAGTTAATTATTAATGTTACGGGTCAGTTGTTAAGGTTATGAATCCTCTCTCTCTCTCTCTCTCTCTCTTTCTTTTTTTATTAAAATATGATGAGGATTATTTTATTATTTTCGTTTTCTCTCTTTCTTTATCAAGATGTACTGAGATGATAGTTGAAATGATTGATAAGGATTATTTTATTATTTTTATTTTTATTATTTTGGTTGTTTGTATTGGGAGATTGTTAAAGTTACGGGTTAATTGTTAAGGTTACGAATTAATTGTTAATGTTACGGGTCAATTGTTAAGGTTATGAATTCTCTCTCTCGTAAAATCATCATGCTGAAAACTCTTACATCTCAATCCTCTCTCAATCTCATCTCCTTCAAGCTCGTTCTTCTCTCTCACTAATATATATATATATATATATATATCATGATGTTTCTTTGATGATATTGAGATGATTAAAGAGGATTATTATTTTATTATTTTCGTTTTTTATTCTTTTTGTATTTTTAGAATATTCGTTGTTAAGGATAACGGTTGGTTGTAAAGGTTATGCATTGATTGTTAAGGTTACGGGTTAGTTGTTAAGGTTAAGGGTTTGTTGTTAAGGTTATGAGTTTGTTGTGTAGGTTACGAATTTGTTATTAACATTACTGGTTTAATTGTTAAGGTTACGTGTTTAATTGTTAAGGTTACGTGTTTAATTGTTAAGGTTACGGGTTTAATTGTTACGGTTACGGGTTTAATTATTACGGTTACGGTTTATTAATTGTTAAAGTTACGGTTTAATTGTTAAGGTTATGGGTTTAATTGTTAAGATTACGGGTTTAATTGTTAAGGTTACGGGTCAATTGTTAAGGTTATGGATCCCTTCTCTCTCCCTCGTAACCTTAATAATTAAACCCATAATCTTAACAATTAAACCGTAACATTAATAATTAAACCGGTAACCTTAACAATTAAACCCATAACCTTAACAATTAAACCGTAACCTTAACAATTAAACCGTAACCTAAACAATTAAACCGTAACATTAACAATTAAACCCGTAACCTTAACAATTAAAACTGTAACCGTAATAATTAAACACGTAACCTTAACAATTAAAACCGTAACCTTAACAATTAAACCCGTAACCTTAACAATTAAACCCGTAACCTTAACAATTAAATCGTAACCTTAACAATTAATAAACCGTAACCGTAACAATTAAACCCGTAACCTTAATTATTAAATACGTAACATTAATAATTAAACCCATAACCCTAATAATTAAACCCGTAACATTAAAAATTAATAAACCGTAACCGTAACAATTAAACACGTAACCTTAACAATTAAATACGTAACCTTAACAATTAAACCCGTAACCTTAACAATTAAACCCGTAACCTTAACAATTAAACCCGTAACCTTAACAACAAATCCGTAACCTACACAACAAACCCATAACCTTAACAACAAACCCTTAAGCTTAACAACTAACCCGTAACCTTAACAATTAATGCATAATATTTACAACCAACCATTATCCTTAACAACGAATATTCTAATAATACAAAAAGAATAAAAAACGAAAATAATAAAATAATAATCCTCTTTAATCATTTCAATATCATCAAAGAAACATCATGATAGATAGATAGATAGAGAGAGAGAGAGAGAGAGAGAGAGAGAGAGAGAGAGAACAATTGACCCATAACATTAACAATTAATTCGTAACCTTAACAATTAACCCGTAACTTTAACAATCTCCAATATAAACAACCAAAATAATAAAAAATGAAAATAATAAAATAATCCTCATCAATCATTTCAACTATCATCTTAGTACATCATGATAAAGAGAGAGAGAGAGAGAAAATGAAAATAATAAAATAATCATCATCATATAATAATAAAAAAGAAAGAGAGAGAGAGAGAGGGGGTTCATAACCTTAACAATTAACCCGTAACATTAACAATTAACCCGTAACATTAACAATTAACTCGTAACCTTAACAATTAACCCGTAACTTTAACAATCTCCCAATACAAACAACCAAAATAATAAAAAATGAAAATAATAAAATAATCCTCATCAATCATTTCAACTATCATCTTAGTACATCATGATAAAGAGAGAGAGAGAAAATGAAAATAATAAAACAATCTTCATCATATTTTAATAAAAAAGAGAGAGAGAGAGAGAGAGAGAGAGAGAAGGGTATTATGGTCTTCACATGTTTTAATGTCTTGGATTTTGTGTTTTGGGGGCTCAGAGAACAGAATCTTTATTTTTGGGGGGTAAAACACCGTTGACAAAGTCTTAGGGGTGGGAAGCACGTTTACTTAGCTTTTGGGGGCTGGAAGCATTTTTCCCTTTGAATATTTATAACTATGTAACTTTATGTGCATTAGCGACCTTTTAACCCAATTTTAGTGATGTCCTAAGTAGTAATACAAGGGAAAAAAAAAATAAAAGTATCTACAAAATATAATATTTGGTGGTGTCTAATGATACTATTGGACACTATGTAGCTCGGCCACCGGAAAAGACTACATTTTACGTCTATAAAATAGAGTTGCAAACAAGTTTTGTGAATTAAAGTGGTGTGCTATTCTTCAAGTGAGAAGTTTGCATCAAGAAGCTTTTTTTTTTTTTTCAGTTGCAGACTTTCTTTGTCTTTGAACGCTGAAACCGCATTTAAAATGAAAAACCATAATATGAACATGCATGTGTTAATCATTTCAGAAAAAAACTAATTGATGCCTAAGTGAGGCCAAACCACAACACCCTCTTTCTTTTTCGCTTCTCTATATTTTCGCAGACAACAATGGTAATCTAATAAAAATTAGTGGACCTTGACTTGCAATTTTTTACTTAGAAAGCAAAACATGCATCATTTGAGTATTCTTTTCTTTGAACTTTATTTATTTTAACTAGTTGTTACTCTTGCGATGCATAAGAGTAAATTAATATTCTTATATATACACTAATTCACTAGTAGAAATCTATGCATCTTAGACAGAATTTCCGTCTAGGATAGTATCCTAGACGGATTTTATTAACTATTTTTTCAATATTTGTGGTCTCTACTATTCTAGACGGAAATTTTCGTCTAGGGTACCTAGATGGGGAAAAAAATTAAATTTCGTTTTCGCGGCTTCAGATTTGAAAATCTTGCGGGTTCAAAAATTTCCCCATTATTATATATCAAAACCCTCCTCATGTCGCTGGTCGCATCTCACCCCATCAAATCTCGCCCAAATTCCCACCTAAAAATCTCACCCCAACCCGTTCTCTCCTCCTCCTCCTCCTGTTCTTTGTTCCCTAAGGGCATCTCCAACCCATCGCACAAAAATGATACAAATTTTGCACCAAAATGGTGCAAATGTCACATCTAACAGTAATTCATCTCCAACCCATTGCACCATTTTTACACCAAAAAAGAATATTCTTAGTATATTCTTTTTATCTATTATTATATTATTATTTTTTATTCCCTATATTTTTAACTATTTCAACAATTAACCTCACATATCAAATTTTAGTTTTTCACATATTTTTCAAACAAAATGATTTATATTTAAAAAATTAAACTAATAAAATAATTAAATATTATTTTATTAATTAAAATAATTTGATTGCTAAAATATTATATTTTTATTATTGATATTGCCAAAATATTACATTTAAGAACACAACAGAAAATAAAATACAAGAAAATAATTAAACATTTACAACAATGTAAAAATTACAAATTTAATATGCACTTAACTATCTGAAATAGTGTATTCCTCCCATAAATGATCTATCAATGCATTACAAAGCACAATATGGGCATCTTTATCCTTGATTTGTCTGTAACGTGTAATAAATTGAGTAAAACTTGTAGTTTCATCTGCTACAATATCAACTTCTGGTGTTGGTATTTCCCTCACTTCTTGAATTGGTGCATAAAGGTCATGTTCATCCTCGATTATCATATTATGCATAATAATGCATGCAATCATTATGTCATGTAATACATGTTTTTTCCAAAAACGTGCTGATCCTGCCACAATTGCAAATTGTGATTGAAGAACTCCGAACGCACGTTCTACATCTTTTCTACATGCTTTCTGTTTCATGGCAAAATATTTTGTCTTCCTACATTGTGGCTGTTGGATTGTTTGTACAATAGTAGCCCATTTTGGATATATACCATCAGCTAAATAATAACCCATATTATACTCTTTTCCTTGAATAACATAGTGAGCGGGGGAGCAATACCTTGAGCTAGATTAGAGAAAATATTAGATGACTCCAGCACATTGATATCATTATTGGTGCCTGGCATACCAAAATATGCGTGCCATATCCAAAGATCATAATCTGCCACAGCTTCAAGGATAATAGTTGGTGACCCACTACGTCCTGCGTACGTATTGTCCAGATCATGTTGTTGGACAATTTTTTCATTTACAATGCATACAATCAAGACTTCCTAACATTCCTGAAAATCCATGTTTTTTACCAATATAGAGTAGCCTAGAAATATATTTAGCATTAGGTGTTCGTAGATACCGCTCTGCGAATATCTCCACCATAGCACGATAAAATTTTGTCATACTTTCAATTGCTGTTGACTCACCTATTTTAACGTATTCGTCCATAGTATCAGCTGGTAGACTGTATGCCAACATGCAGAAAACAGCTGTTACTTTCTGTAACAGTGATAATTCTATTCTACCAAGTCCATCACTTCGTTGTTGGAAGTAATAGTCATGATCTTTCACTGCATCAACAATACGAAGGAATAAACTTCTTGACATCCGATATCGACGACGAAACATATCTTCTTCAAAACGTGGATTATCGGCTAAGTAATCTATGACCAAATTCTGATGCGCAGTTTCTCGATCGCGGTTGATCACTGTATGATCGGGAATCGAGCCACCATGGATTGGTTGGTAGTTTTGTTGATGTAAATTGTTAGCGGGGATCATGTTGTTGTTGATGTACTCACAAATTACTTCTTCGGTTTCATCAATCTCTGTAATGATATTGGACAGAAAATTATCATCATCCGAATATGAAGATGATGATAAATATGATGGACCTCCAGCATCGAAATTCATTTTTAAAGTAAGAAAAGAATGACTGAAGTATGCAGAAATGAAAGATAATAATTTTAACACAACAACGAATAATTGTGTGGATGTACCTAATCTAGTATGCTATTTATAAAACTTTGCTTAACTGTATACGTTGAACAATGTATAAACTTTGCTTAGATGTTATCCATTTGTCATAAAATTCAAATTTGCTTAGCTGTGTATACGTTGGACAATGTGTAAAGCTGATCAGTTTTCAAAAAATGATTCCCACCGACAACGTTGGATAATGTGTAAAGATGATCAGTTTTTAAAAAATGATTCTCACCGATAACGTTGGACAATGTGTAAAGCTGACCAGTTTTTAAAAAATAATTCCCACTGACAACGTTAGACAATGTGCAAAGCTGATCAGTTTTTAAAAAATGATTCCCACCGACAACGTTGGACAATGTGTAAAGCTGATTGGTTTTTAAAAAATGATTCTCACCTATAACATTGGACAATGTGTAAAGCTGATCAGTTTTTAAAAAATGATTCCCACCGACAACGTTGGACAATGTGTAAAGATGACCAGTTTTCAAAAAATGATTCCCACTGACAACGTTAGACAATGTGTAAAGCTGATCAGTTTGTACACAACGATTCAATTTCAAATGTTGACCACCGATAAATTCAAATTCAAATTCAAACAAATTTGGATTGGTTATAAATAACATTCACGAGTCAAACCACCCAATTCGAAGTATTTCTTCAAAGTATTTCTAATCTCCAAAGCAACCGCTTTTTAAAAAAAAAATGTATGTTCGATCATCTGGATACATGGTTACTGAAGATGTGCTCCTTTGTCAAGTATTCTTGGATATTTCTTAAGACCCTATTATCAGTAGAAACCAGTCTTGAGATGCATTTTGGTCTCGTGTGGAGGACAAATACAATGAACTTCGAGATCAGCATATTGAGGTGCGTACGAGCCGATCAATTCGTTCTCGAATGGAAATCATAAGTAATGAAGTAAGGAAATTGAATGCGTGCTTGAGACAATTAGAGAATCTGAATCCAAGTGGTGCTTCAGATGAAGATATTGTAAGTATTCTATTAATTATCTTTTAAAATTTATTATTATTGTTAAAATACATAACTTGATGTTCACTATAATTTGCAGTTAGCTCGAGCAAAGATGTTATTTATACAAGAACCAAAGTACAAAAAAGGTTTCAAATTTGATCATGTCTGGAATATAGTTAAAATTTTCAAAAAATTTAAAGATGATGTCCCCACAACAAGACAAGTTGGTCGAAGACAACCCCAAAGTATGAACTTCGACTCGTCACAATCAGATAATCCCACTCCGAAATCTCCTATATCAACATCTCCTGGACTGTCATCATTTACTCCACCTGAACGACCTATTGGGGTTTAAAAAGTCAAATTGAAAAGAAAAAATGATGATCATGAGTCAAGTGTAGTGGACTGTCAAAATATAAATGGTTAATTGCACCAAAATTGAATTTTGAGATGTAACTTTTTTTTCCGTTTCGAATAATATAATCTGTCTGGTCAATTTAAGGTTTGAAACCAAATGCTTCGCTTCCTAGTAAGAGCCGTGATGATAAAGTGGTTTAAGGTGGATTCAAAATATGGATGCATGTAGATTTTCTAAAGTCAAGCTTGAATAATAAAATATTCTTCCATGTGTTTTTTCCTCTTCACGTTAAACATCGAGTACTATATTGGAGTCTGAGATGGGAGACTTAACTTTCAAAGGTCGGCTCTCAATCACGTCTATGGACCCAAATCCCATAGTTTTTGTTTTAAGAGCATTGGTTAGGAGCCAATGGGACTCCCCATCTAGATCCTATCCATAAATGACTCATGTCATAGGTTGATCCTATAAGTTAATAATAATCCACACATATGACGATAATGGAAACCCTTGGTGATACTTTCTCACTCCTTGAAATTGAAAATAAAAAGTGCATATTCTATCAGAACTTCTTGATAGAATGAGTTGATCTATACCATTCATGGATATGTTTTTTTAAAGATAACATTCTAGTTAAGGGATTTAAATCATTACCCAGTTATTACCTAATTGGAAAGTATCTAGCTCTCTAATTAATATACGCCGCCCTCCATTTGTAGTACTCCATAAAACTAGGACGTTTTTTTTGCAGATATTTTGTTGTCTATGCAACTTGTGAATGTTATAAAAAAAAATCCGCTATCAGCTAAAGCTACGGATGACCGGTTCCGTCATAAACTGTTCTATTTGGAACATGGAAAGTTAATTACTTCCCTTCTTCATCTTCATTTTCTTTTGAATGACGTCAAAAGTGATCAATTAATTCAGAACTCTATGAAAGCGATTCATGGTTCTAGACAGACACGCAGGTAATGCAGCGGGTAAGTATCACAAAGCCCTCACAACTTTGGACGATTATTAGATGGCCTCCCATCACTTTTAAAATATCTTAAAACCTTCAAGTTTAAGGGTTACAAAAAAAAAAAAAAAAACCCTTAACTTCAACATTTTTTTTAAAGAAAACCCTAAAAACACGTGAATTGTAATTTTCACTGGAAAAAAAATATTCCTCTGCGTAATTTCACCCACATCTGCGAAAGTTACAGTTAACGATGTTCGGAGGGGTTTCAGATAAAATCCTGAAGTTGAAGGTTTTTTTTGGTAATATTTTGAAACCTGTGGGAGATGGAGGGTATCAGGTAATCGTCCAAAGTTAATAGGGGCCTTTATGATACCTACATATTCTTTTTAGGGCTTTTTGTTTTTAGGTCCATTTGTTTACCTAGCTTTATATTTAAACCCAAGAATTATTATGTGTATCTTTAAACCCAACTTTCTTTTTGTATTTATCTTTAAACCCAATTCTAAAATATAATACTCTCAAAACCCAACTTTCTTTTTGTATTTATCTTTAAACCCAATTCTAAAATATAATACTCTCATATGTGGGTCCCCCTATATAAGTCTTTTTGTATTTATCTTTAAACCCAATTCTAAAATATAATACTCTCATATGTGGGTCCCCCTATATAAGGAAATTGGGTTTAAAGATAACTACAAAAAGAATGTTGGGTTTACTTGGGTTTAAAGATAAAGTTAGGTAAACAAATGGACCTAAAAACAAAAAGTCCTTCTTTTTAAGCTTTATATGGTAAGTCTTTAGGAGAAAATATAATATCGTTAATTTCGAAAACATTATATTACTTTTCAGTGGAAACTATGTCAGCCAAGAGTTTGGCGGTTCTCTCTTTCCAGGCTAATTAAATTGTTTGGACGGTCAAAGAAGAAATACACAAACGTAAGGAGAAAGGGCTACTGCTGGTCCAAGTAGTCTTATATTTGTACGCACTTTAAAAATCTTTCGGTAAGTCAATCAGAGAAGTACGAGGATCGCGCTTGCATGACTTCATGGACGATAAGGTCGTACGAGTACCTGTCTAATAGAAATCTCTCCGAAGCAGCAAATTCGTTTCTAATATCTCATAAAAGGACTAAAATTGGACCATTAACCATCGCATCTATCATATAACTGGATGATCATATCTACGTTTTAATTACTTCGATGATATAATTAAATACCAATTAGATCATTAGTCACTTTTAACGCTGTGCGTCAATTGATATAATGAATTTCAACTACGTGATATAAAAAAAGTCTTGATCATTTGACGTAACAAGGTTGCTCTTATGTTTAATATTTTGATCACTTAGAGAAATGAAAATTTGCGACGCATCGAGCAACTTGTATTGGATAGTTATATTGCATTTGATATTTATTTTTAAACATATTAACTTGCGACGCATTGAGTGAGTCGTATTGCTTAGAAAAGAATGAAAATATACAATTTAAATTAACAAAAAAATGTTAGGTATAACGAGTAATCCAATTAGCATTTAATCGTGTGATCGGTCATCCAAGCAATTGAAATATAAATATGAAGATTTAATTATTAGAAAATAAATATAGTGACCAATGATTCAATTAACCCTATCATAAAATGTTGGTCCCTTATTGATAACGTGAATCATAGTCTCATGAGTTAGCATTTTGCAGGGCTAAAACTTTGAAGTTCACTGAACTTCAACCGCTCACACTTATGCTTTTATCCATGTCTTTCATGTTTTCGGTTCTCTGCATAATAATTTATTACGGAAAAATTAATAGGATGAAATAAAAATTGTAAGATTTCCAAAATTTTAGATTTGATTAATTTTAAAGTACTAAATCCTAATGAGGGTCACCAACTGAGAAATGAGGTCCAATACCTAAGGATTTCGACCTGACCATCCAAACAATACATCATCAAGGCTGTTATTCATTTAAAAAGCTTATTACAAACAATAGGAATTCTATCAGAACCATCTCCAAGAGTAGTAGGATGATCTACTCATAAATAGAAAAGTTATAGTTCACAAACTAATCTTCTAACTACCCATAGATGATATAAATTACTTCTTTCTATAAAACATTCTGATAGAACCCTTTCCCTTCTCACGAAAAGGTCAGTGAGATATCACATATCAATTAGATTAGAGCTTTTTCTTTAAAGGATTTATATGGCTATTTTGGTCAGTTGATACATGAGAAAACAATAAAAATGAGTGGTGCATAAATAAATACTCCATCCCCCTATTTACAGTTTGCGTACCAGGAAATTTATAACGAAGTCGGAATCTATTAGCCTAGAAACCGCAATACAGTAGTATGTAACATATATAGCTGATAATGGTACCTGAATTTATCACTGTCCCTGACTTAGCATTTTAATACAATCTCATCTTTCATCTTTTACTGCACAGGTCATGCAACTGCTGCTGCCCCGTTTGGCAAAGGGTTAATGAAGAGGGGTTAAAGAGAAGGATTAATGTACTTAGCCCATTTGATAATCCAAAGGATTAAATTATTAACCCGTTAAATAAGTTTTATTTTAGCCCTTATGATCAGTTTTAGTGTTTGGGAATAACAATGATTTTGACTATTTTCTTTATAATTAGAAGGGTTAACTCTTATTCCATCTAAATAGGAGTATTAGTAAACCCCTCATTTTGAGGGGTTAACTCATTTTAACCCCTCTAGAGGGGTTAACTTAACCATTCTATATTTTTTATGTTTGGCAAATTATGGAGAGTTAACTCACTTTAACCCTTAAATAGATTTGTTGTGTTTGGCAGGTTAAGAAGGGGTTAAGTCTCTTTAACCTCTCTCTTAACCCTTTGCCAAACGGTACCTTAATACACAAATAATACATACGTAATTTATTGGTGTGGAATTAAATACATCAGCAGTTCAGATAAGTGAAACAATTACTTCAAAAAAAAGATATGTGAAATAATCTCCAATTAGCAGAATTCTGTTGGTGATCTGAGAGCTGACCAAAGAAACCTCAAACAGAAGGCCTTCTGAATTCCCAGGTATAATTCAAACATCACGTCCATATGGTGGAGCACTTATATATTCCACCATTTCTTTTTCTCCATTGTCCTTACGAGTTCATTAGCCATTTCAGCAAAATTCTGTGCCCCATCTTGCAGCTCTGCAGTGCGCATACTCAATCTCTGACAGAAAAACAAGCATATGTTAGAAGTTGGTTGCTAGGGTAAATCGCCTGTTTTTCTTTTACCAAAAGGTATTCTTTGCCAAAAGAAAATTATTATCTAGAGCTAAGAATCTAAGATACTATTAGTGCTGCATTACTTCAATTAATATTAGCTAAGCTACATTTCTTCCAAATGTAGAATGTGTTAGAAAAGACGAAGGAAAATCAACAAGCATTTGGAGATAAATTTTCAAAATTTCAAATTTAGGTATAAAGTAATTTATATAAAAGGTGGAATGTATGCTCATTTATGGGGCAGTATCAAACATCTTAGAAAATATGATGCGCTAGCAGAAAAGGGTAAAAAGATAGTTTATTCTACATCAACCCCTATCCTTTTTGTGGGTGGGGATGGGGGGTGGAGGAGGTGGTTGAGAGTAAAACTGAAAATTCAAATGTATCTTTATACCTCAAGTTTCTCCTGTCGCTCCATCAGCTTGTCCTTTGCATGAGCTGCTGCTTTTGCAGCATCCTGGAAACAAAACTATTAGCTTTCAAGAAATGAAAGAAATATGACAGGTTGAAAAGTGCATAAGAGTTGGCTCAATAAAAGGAATTACCCCGCCAAATTTATACTGTGTCATGATTTCTTGTGTTGTTCTTACTCTTGGCTTTGTATCATGAGTTGCTCCTTGGAATAATTTTTCTCTTTCTGTATTCTCATCTGTAGTGTTACATTAGATAATTGAGTCCACTGGACCAATAGGAAAATGAAGTACTTGATGATTGACAAAGAAAATGAGCCACACCTGTTTTCTTTTGTTTACTTACAGTGGATGATGATGATATGGGCAATTCCTCATCAATCATGATGTCATCTGCACAAGAGTTTAGCTTCAGTGCATATATGAGAAAGGCATAGCTTCAGTGTACATGTGTGCATATGCGCAGATGTGTGAGTGGTGTTTGTGTGTGCGAGAGAGGGAGAGAGACCTATGCTTAGTTCAACTTCTTTGTCATTAGTAGGTGTAGCTAGCGATTCTGCGAATGGATCTCTTGAAAAGGAGTCCTCCAATTTCTCTGAGCTAGATTTATCAAAACTGCGAGAAACATCACTGTCATTCTCCGCTCTACCTCCTTTAAGTCCCTTGAAGATACCACCCAGAATCCCAGATGCTGTACTCTGGAGCATAAATGATAACCTTATGGTAAATTGACCCAAGAAAGAAAGTAACAGCTGATTATTATAAAATACAATAAATGTTAACCTGTCTTTTCTTTTGATTCATAGAGAGACTAATAGCAGCATCTGCAGCAGCTGCAACAACTTTGTCATGAAGGCAGGGCAAAGATTCTGGTATCCTGTTCAATCATACATAACTTACTCCATATTCTACAATTTGAACAGGCACAAGCGAATAAATGCTTGCACAAAATGTAGCAATTAATACCTGAAGTCATTTTCGCAAGCCAAAAGTGAGATGAAAGCAAGTTCAGAACCATTCACCTGCAAATTAATGAGAGAAATCACATAAAATAAGAAACCACCCAATAGGAAGGATATAAGCACACCCCTTCCACCTGCCTCAGTGCAAGGAAAAGAACAATGTGCGCTTGCTTAAGAATGATAATGCAATGAACAAGAACCAACAACCAATACATTAAGCAAGAGAAAGTGTGATGGATCGTTTGGCAAAGCCATATGTTAGAATATTAAAAAAATAATCATCAACTCTCATCACAACTTTAGAGTTTTGGTGTAATAGTTAGAGGGACTTTAAGATGCAACCAAGATTCAAATCCCACCAACCATAAAAACGAATTTTCTAAAAAATTAACACAACTAGGTGAATTCAAGTTTAAGCCTATAAAAAGGGTGTTCAACCTGCGGGGGCATGCTAGAATATAGAAATATAACTCCCAACTCTCATCACAACTTCGGAGTTTTTATGCAATGGTTAGAGAGACTTGAAGACCATACATGTCCATAACAGTAGCCATGTTTATAGTAACCATATACAAAGCAGTAAAAAGTAAGCAATTACAATTCTTAAAGTTAACCAGGAGGTAAAACAATTGGGAGATGGTTTAGGATGTTCATTAAGGCTAATAAGTATGCAAGAGGTGATACGATTGTGGCATATATTACATTATGGGCATAAATATTTAGCTACTAATAGAATTATAATGGATAAATTTTTAAAAACAACATTTTTTAAACTTTATTGTGCAAAAACGACCCTTTGAAAAATTAATGAGCAAAACCGATCCTTTTCTGTTGAAAAGGGTTGGTTTTGCTGGGGAGACACTAAAATAAAGTGTACGGGACTACTAGTCCCGTACACTTCATTTTAGTGGCCATATAGTCGGGACTGCCCAACTCCCTCACTCTCTTCATCTCTCAATCACCCACCTCCCAAGCTTCGCCTCAAACCCATCGCCGACCACCCCCTGAACTTCGAGCCGCCGGCCTACACCGCACTCCAATCTCGACAAGTTTCATGCCGCCTACACCGCACGCCACGCCGCCATCTCCGACAAGCTCACCACCGCCTACACCGCGCCCGCGCCATCTCAACAAGCTTCCACCGCCTACACCGCCGTCCCATCTCCGACAAGCATAAATGGCTTCTGTGAATGCACGTTATCGCTCGATCCGCTTCGCTTCCAAGTGTCCTCGGATTCGCTTCGCTTCCAAGGGGAAATCCTCAGGGCGGGAAAGTTTCGCATGGGCATCGGGCCACCTTCGGAGGGCCGTTCCGCTCCGGCCGCGCACAGGGCACATGGAAGAGGAACTTGCCGGACGGCCACGGTCGCTACATCTGGAGGAATGGAAATCAGTACATTGGGGAGTGGAGGGGGTGGGGTTATTTGTGGAGGGGGCTTTGATCTGGGCCAACAGAAATTGATACGATGGGTTCTGGGAGAAAGGGGTGCCTAAGGGCAATGGGTCTTCACTTGGCCTGATGGTCGGCAACAGCAACGAGCAAACTCTTACGGGGACATTTTACTCACAGCGCACTAAAATGAAGTGTACGAGACTGGTAGTCCCGTACACTTCATTTTAGTCCTGAGTAAAACCGAAAAGGGTCGGTTTTGCTCATTAATTTTTCAAATGGTCGTTTTTGCACAATAAAGTTTAAAAAGGGTTGTTTTTAAAAATTTGTCCAATTATAATTTATAGTATTGAACTACTTTTTTAGCCAGTAGCGATTCTGGCCTTCGGTCATATCCTCTGGGCTTCTGACATTTAAGGAAACCATCTATCAAGGTTCTGACCTGTGAACAAATCACTCAGATGCTAATATTTCTAGCATTTACCTTTTGGATTTTGACCCTCTGCAAAATTTGCCATTATGAACATATAGCTATATAGTATATATAATATATTACGCATTAATTAGAGTTTTGACATTTCCCATACTGACATTTCGTAAATTTCAGCTTTGGGAATTGTTGTTAATCATAGTTGGATTTTGATATTCAATAAGTATTATTATTATTATTATATCGAACATCTACTCATTAATTCTTTCTAATTGAAGATCATTAGAGAGAGTGTGCTTCGTTCTCTAACATCTGTATATAATTTTATGAAACCACAAGATGAGTTATGTTGCTCAGTTCACAATTCTTTTAGCGTTTCACAGTAATTCAGATTTCATGGGTGCTAAGGAAGAACTTCTTCGGCAAGCTACTTAACGCTTTTTAATTAATTTATTTGGCTTGAGGTGCACAGTCTATTATATAGCTTTTGGTTCATTCTTAAATTTTTTTGTATTAGGACCTATGAGTTTGGAGAAAAGAATATTTGACTTGGTAGCAAATTTATGCTCCACAATATAATTTCAGAATTATGGCTACTTTGGTGAACATTTCAAAGTGGCTACTTTGAATAATTTCATACTTTATTTACACTATTGATCATTAACCGATCCCAAAAGTTTGAGATAAAGGCTTTGTTGTTGTCGTTGTCGTCATTGTTGTTGTTGCTGCTATTTACACTACTGGTCATATCAGATTATTTAGTAAGAGGTTCTGCGATGCTGACTTGTGGAATGAGAGGGGAAAAAAATCAAAGTGTACGCCTCTTGAAGAAAAAAAAATACCATTGTGATCTGCCCATTGTCGTAAGAACTCATAGCTTTTTCCATGTTTGTCTTGAAGCTCCATCTTAAAATTGACATTATGGAACTTTCTGCTGAAACCTCCAGCTCAGGAAGGGATCTGCTCATGGACAAGGAAAAAAACCTTATGACCCAAGAAATGCTTCACCAAATTGTCAATGACTGAATGCAAAGAAAATAAAGGTAATAAACAGCATCTGTTTAGCATATGTACCAGGCAACAAGAAAGCTGAAATATGTAGAGCCTTGATATATAAAGCAAAGAGGGGTGTTATCATAAGGTAAGAAGAACAAGATAGGCTGGTTGAAGGATTTCTTTGTATAATAAAGACTGCTATCCTTTACAAATCAAACCTAAAAAGTATAGATTTTCATTATAAAGTACTACCTTAAACCTGCAAAGTAAAAGAAGAGAGTAATTTAATGCAAGAAGTCTTCACCTCATCTCTAGGTCCCCCGTTTCATATAGTAAAATCAGTCCACATCCTTTTTCATCTCTTTTTCTGAAGATTGCTGACCAGCAACAACGTTTTACAATATTTGATCTATGGACGGAGTTGTTATTTCCCTAAAATAAAAAAGATAAACACAATTAGCTTAAAAGAAAGGTCCAAATCAAAATTTAGTTAAATTTGAAATAAAAGAGCACCTGTTTGACAGCCTTCAATGGCCAAAACCACAGAGAGTCCTCACAACAAACCAAAACATGAGGATCTGATAGTTCATTTGAGTGTGACACATCACTAGAGCAGTGTTGATCAATTTCTTGTGGTTCACTTCCATTGAGGTCATCTCCTTGTATGGAATCACTATGGGAAGATTTTTCCTCTGATGGATGTTGAGAGGACGTCTCACTGTTCTTTTCTAGAACAGAGCTAGCTCCATCTGAATGGGATATACACAGAATTACAAAAATTCATTTGGAAAACTACATATTTCAGTACTTGTGTTGATTGTTACATAGAAACTACTTGCCTATAACATACATGGAAATTGCAGAAGACTCTTTTTTTGGGTGCATCCTCTGTGAGCTGATTGTTTTACCACTTATGCTATCAATGATGAAAACATTTGCATCCTTGGTCAAGATAAGCATCACTCTTGCAGAGTCTTCAGGATTTCCAGTTGCACTTGTTATTACAGCACTGATCTGAGGATTGACATGAAACGCTATAGAGATGATGGGTGAATGAGCACCAGATAAGCAATCTGTACGGAACAAAATTGATAAGGATCTCATATCAAGCATTGCCACCTGAAAATGGGTACGAAGATGAACATACAGTCAATAGCATATTTAGACAGCTTCAGCATTACTTGCAACGAAAAGGATTAACAGCATACACAAAATGAAGAGACAATAACTACCTGACCAGTTTCAAATCCAACAGCAACCTTCTCTTCACCGTGTACAAATTTAAGGGTTCGAATGGATGCATTTGAAAAGATGAATGCTGCAAAACAATGATATCCTTCCCCATGTTGCACAATGTGAACTGTATGCACAATGATAATTTGTTAGCAGGTTTACATAATATATTACTGATAATTTCTCGATGAATCTATTTCATGTAGGCAAAAAAATCTATCCCACATGCCTAATAAGAAACTGCCTGTGCTTATAAGTTATAAGTTAAATTGTACTGGTATTTCAGATGAGCACCCATCCTCAACAGCGTGTTAAAACATAACACACCTCAACATGTAAAAGATATCTTTGTTGAAGTCCAGAATATGTATGGCATGCCATATAGACATGAGATGGTCAAATTAACGGGTACTTACTGCTCTCAATCACACTACCCACTTTGCCAGAGCAGAAAACTGAATTGTTATGAGCCAAGAACCTTTTGGATTTTGTTTCTAGCTTACTATAACTTTTACCCTGAAGGCATTAGAGATTCATCTATTTAGTGTTATCACAAATTACCTTTTCTGATTTTTATGAATAAAGAATAAGAATACAAGATTAACATTTAAATATCAATAGACTTCATTTTTAGCTAAATCTAAACATGGAATGACATCATCGCCTGAATAATATTGTATGCATATTCTCATGTACCTGCTCCTACGTCTCTGATATTCATCATGTCACCATGTTTTTGACAAGCCATATCCATGTTTCTGATGCTGCAACGTAGTTTAGATACAATTGCAATGCCAGAATAGTCATAATAACCTAACTATGAATACAAGGACAATTACCACTACCAATAAATAGTCAACACAATGAAAGTACTGGGGTTTCTGGTTACTAAGTTCTATACTCATACTCATTAATAAGAATATTAGCAAAATGAAGAGGCAGCTTCAGCAGTTAAAGCAGTTATGATAAGCATAATGTTTAAGAATTAAAATTATGAATCATAAACAGAACATAAACTGCCAAACTATATTGTACATTGATACCTTCAGTATGAACAAAGGCAAAATATCGAAGAACATATCGTACTTTTGCTAATATGAATTATAAGACAGATGACATTTTTTAAGTCATAAAATGAATTATAAAACCGATACAATTTTATACGTTTAGCTTCCCTAACCTTCTAAAAGATGAAGTCAACAACATAGACAAGAGTATATCTGCGACTCACACAGAACCAACATAACCTTAAAATAGCAGAAAGAATTGGTAGTCACCTTTCAAGTCTGCTATATTTTCCTACTGAAGGACTGTGATAACATTTAAAGAAAAATTATGACAAATATAGAGGAAGATCAGATTCCAAGGAGAAATCTTCCACCTCAAAATTAATTCTTTAACAGAACATAACTTTTCATTCTATCAAGATGAGTCTAATCTTGTCTTCCAATCATAGCAAATCCTTTTTCAACCAGCCAAGAATATGTTGGGAAATTACGCAAATTCCCCTGTTATCAGATTTATAAGAAAGCGAAATAAATGCGCAATAAAAGAACACACAAATTTAACGTGGTTCGACACAAAATTGCTTACATCCCGGACTGCTGCAGATATTTCACTAAGGGGAGAAAATTTACAAGTGTTTTTCACACAACTCCCAACCCAACCGTCACTCTGAAAATTGCTCACAATTTTCTCTCACTGAGTGCTCTCACTTTTCCTCTCTGTTTTCTCTCTTGCTTGGATTGTGTCCTGAGCATCTGTGTGGGGTGCTCTATTTATAAGTCCCCCCGCACTTCCGAAAATTTTTACTCTAGCTCAATCATCCCTTACTTTCGGTGTTTTTTGTCAAAAAAGGAAGTAGCGGTGGCTGCCTTTGTTGACAAAAGCAGCCTCCCCTTTTTCTTTCGGTGGCTTCTTTTGTTGACAAAAGAAAACAGCCACCAACTCTTTTTGACTAACAATCTCCCACTTGAAGACTGATCTTAATCTGTCTTCACATCTCGATTTATACAACAGCTCTTGCTGGTCTTGATACTGTTACAAGCCAACTGAAGCTGAACACAGCTTCAGTTTGTCAGTAGTCACCGTCTTTGTCAGCATATCTGCCGAATTTTGAGCTCCACTAATCTTTTCAAGTTTCAAAATTTCATCTTCCAGAAGTGATCGGATAAAATAATACTGCACCTATATGTGTTTCGTTCTGGAATAAAAAGATGGATTCTTCGCTAGATGAATAGCACTTTGACTATCACAATATAAGGCATTGTCTTCGTGTTTCTTGCCTAATTCATCCAAGATGCTTTGAAGCCAAACCATTTCATTGCTGGCTTCTGTAACGACGACATATTCTGCTTCACTTGTGGAGAGAGTAACTATCTTCTGCAGTTGAGAAACCCAACTCACTGCAGTGCCTTTTATAGTATAGACATACCATGTAGTGCTCTTTCTGATATCAACATTTCCTGCTAAATCAGCATTCACATAACCTGTTAGTATTGTATCTCCACCTTTGAAACAAAGTGCTTTACCTGTGGTGCCCCGTAGATATCTGAAGATCCATTTGACTACTTCCCAGTGTACCTTGTCCGGATTATTCATGTACCTGCTAACAGCTCCCACTGCTTGAGCAATATTTGATCTTGTACAAACTATGACATACATCAGACTTTCAACTGCTGAGGCGTACTGGACCTTCGTCATGTGTGCACGCTCTTCCTCTGTCTTTGGTGACTGCTCTTTGAAAAGTTTGAAATGAACACCTAAAGATGTACTCACTGGTTTAACATCTTGCATATTAAACCTAGAGTACTTTGTTGATGTACTCAGCCTGTTATAACATCAAAGTCCCAAACTTCGTCTCCCTTGATTCTCATTCCCAGAATCTGCTTTGCAGTGCCAAGATCTTTCATTGCGAACTGCTTTGATAATTTTTGCTTTAAATTTATAATATCTTGCAGATCTAAACCTGCAACGAGCATGTCATCAACGTATAACAATACAATAACAAAGCTATTATCAAACCTCTTGAGATAGCAACAATGATCTACTTGGCATCTAGTGAAACCGTTGTTATCCATAAAGTTGTCAAACTTCTTGTACCACTCTGAGAGCTTATTTAATCCATACAAGCTCTTCTTCAAACGACATACTTGATTTTTCTTGTCTGCCTTTATGAAGCCTTCTGGTTGCTTCATATAGATCTTCTCCTCTAAATCACCATAAAGGAAATTTTTTTTACATCTAACTGCTCAAGATGTAAATTCTCAGTAACTATAATTTTTAACACCAGTCTGATTGTAGTCAGTTTCATGACTGGAGAGAAAATTTTATTGTAGTCAATACCTTCTTTTTGCTGAAAGCCTTTGGCAACCAATCTTGCATTGTAACGCTTATTCCCATCATGCTCTTCTTTGATCCTGTAAATCCACTTGTTATGAAGACCTTTCTTACCTGGTGGTAATTCAGCTAAGTCTCACGTCTGATTTGACATTAGCGAGTCCATATTATCTTGCATACCAGACTCTCACTTGACTGAATCCTCCACCTGCATTGTTTCATCATCACTCCGGTTCACCATTGTCAGTCAGCAAGTAGTGCAAAGAAGACGAATAACATTGGATTGACTTAGGAATTCTGGATGAGCGTCTCACTTCTGGTGTGCTTGGTTCTTCTTAAACTACTTCAGGACTAGTCTGAACATTATTTTCAGAAATATCCTCAAATTCAGCAAATACCTTTGTTTCAACTTTTGTACTAGAGCTACTTGATTCTGCAGTTGATTTGTCTTTGTACATCACATTCTTATTGAATATGACATCTCTGCTTTTGACGATCTTCTAATTTTCATAATCCCAAAACCGGTAACCAAACTCATCACCACAATAACCAACAAAAACACATTTGTTAGATTTGGCATCAAGTTTATTTCTTTTAGTAGAATCTATGTGTACATAAGAGATACAACCAAAAACTCTTAAATACGAAAGGTTTTTCTCTTTTCTGCTCCAAATTTCTTTCGGTATTTTACCGTCCAAGGAAACTGAGGGCCCACGATTGATTAGGTAGGCTGCGGTATTGATAGCTTCAGCCCATAGGAACTTGGGTAAGCTGGCATGCATCCTTATGCTTCTGACACGTTCATTCAAAGTTCTGTTCATGCGCTCCGCTACGCTATTTTGTTGCACTGTCATGGGAACTGTTTTCTCCATCTTGATCCCGTTGTTTACGCAAAATTCTTTGAATCTACTGTCTTTGTACTCTCCTCTATTGTCTGACTTTAACCGTTTTATCTTCAAACTAGTTTCATTTTCCACCATGACCTTCCATTTTCTGAAAGTATCAACGACTTCTGATTTTTTCTTCAGAAAATAGACCCACACATTCCTTATAGAATCATCAATGAATGTGACATAGTACAGTGAGCCTGCAAGAGATGAAACTGGAGATGACCCTCATACGTCAGTATGAACCAACATGGTCCCCATACATCAGTATGAACCAACTCTAACTTTTCTGCCTTAGATGTCTTACTAATATTTGCAAAACTGACTTTTTCTGTTTGCCAAAGATACAATCCTCGTATAGGCCGACATCTACATTCTTCAAATCTGACAGCTTCCCTTTCGACAAAAGTATCTTCATCCCTTTCTCTTTCATATGGCCAAGCCTTTGATGCCATATGTTTGATTTTTTTTATCTGCATCTGTTACTGCAATAATATTCTCTAAGTTAGAGGTTACATAGAGAGTACCATTTTTCTTACCTCGAGCAATAACGAGTGCTTCTTTGGTAATCTTTCATTCATGACATGAGAAGGTTGTACAATAACCCTCTCCATCAAGCTATCTCACAGAGATCAAATTCCTTTGAAGGGCAGGAATATGTCTTACTCTTTGCAGCTTCCATGTGGTCTAATTTGACAAATTTAATCAGATGTCTCCCTTATCAACGATCTTCAAGGTTTCATCATCTGCTAGATGTATCTTTTCGAAATTACCGCTAACGTAATTCTCTATGATTTCTCGACGTGGATGGCATGAAAGGATGTCCCTGAATCAAGAATCCATAATTCAATTGGACTGTTGACGCTTAAAATCATAGCATCACCTCCTTCCTCGGTCACGTTGGCAGACTCCTGTGTGCCGGTATTTTTTTCAGTGCCCGACACTCCCTCTTGAAATGACACTTGTTACCATAATTATAGCAGTTAAAATCTTTCTTTCCCGATCTAGATTTGCTCCTTCTAGATTTTGATCCACCTCGATTTGAACTTTTTTTTGAAGTTCTCCCCCTAGACTCCGTGTGTAAAGCTGAAGAGATACCGATTCTCTCCGTCGAATTTCTTCATTAAGAACCAGATCATGAACATCATCAAATTTTAACTTATTGCTTCCCGAAGAGCTACTCACAGCTATGACAGTAGCATTCTAACTTTCTGGTAGAGAAGATAAAAGTATCAATGCTTGTACTTCTTCATCAAACTCAATTCCAACTGAACTCAACTAGGTTGTGACTGTATTAAGTTCATTGAGATGTTGAGCTACCGATGCGCCTTCTGTCATCCGTAAATTGAACAGCCGTCTCATCAAGTGAACTTTGTTTGCGGCAGAGGGCTTCTCATACATGCTGCTCATACATGTTGCAGAGAGTCGCCATAAGACCCACCGTGATCTTTTCTTTTGCTATGTTGAAAGCAACGTTGCGGGATAGCGTCAATCGTATAACTCTTTTGTTACATATTGTTAGTCGAAAGGAGTTAGTGGCTGCTTTCTTTTGTCAACAAAATAAACCACCGAAAGAAAAAAGGGAGGCTGCTTTTGTCA